TTATTTAGTGTTCTGAAGTTCTCACAGCTAATGTACAATATATACAGCAGAGCAGCACAGAAGAAAAAAGATGCCTTTTGCTCTTCCGCCTTTACGGAAAAGATTATTCTCTTCCCATGCAGTTATGTTCATCTAAGGTAAAAAGAGCTGATCTGGTTTCATTCCTTATGGACCAAATTCAGCTCCAGGGGCCAACTCTGTTGAAGGACAGAATAATGGTAGCATTAACTTAACCCTGTTATTTTTATAAATCTTATTTCAGAAATACAAGTAGAAAATGAAAAGTGCAGAATACATTTCCAAAGAACTTGCAACATCATTTGTACTCTCAGCAGTGCGGTCAAAGAGACTAATTTTGCTTTTATCAAATTGTCTCATGCAAGGAAAAAAGAAAACCGACAGAGTAACATTCCAGTAAGAGTTTATCAGTGCTTAAGACCAAGAGCACAGTGGTACTTGGCACATGATGAATTCCTCTGAGGAATCTGGGACTAATATTTCAGGTTCTGTGTTGCCATTCTGACCATGCAACGTTATAATTACTATGTGTATCAAGCTATTATTTCCCTAATTTGTAACAGAGGGTCTTCTCTATGAATCTTTCTTAAGCCTACTTGCCTAAAGACCGTGCATTGTAGGTTTGTAGAAAAGTTCCAGAATGAGCTCAAAGTTCCCAAACTGAAGAAAGTATGGCCCAGAGAGGAGTTAGTGTTATTAGTTTCCAGCAGGGTTGGTATCAAATCCATTTGCCAGTACAGGTGCAAAGTTAGTACTAATGACATGGGGAAAGGGCACAGTCACTGCCGTTACTGTCAAAGAAGGAGTACTCGTTTGGCGTAAGTGCTGTAAGAGCAGGCCAACGCTTGACAAGCCTAGAGATCATGTTTCCAGCCATTCATCATTCATTCACATATAGAGCCTGAACCAGCAGGCATAAGTACAGAGCAAAGGCTGTTTCACCATGGGGAGCACTGCACACATGGGCTCTTCTGTAAAATGTAACCACCAAATCAATATAGAAAGCAACTCTAAATCATGCTGTAAACGTGTATGTAAAGCTGTGTGTACAACAAGCCACTTTTTCCAATGGGCTGCCTTACTAACATATTTAACTTTTTCTTTTTTTTCCTCCTTTTGGACCAGATCCGTAGCCAATCGACTTCAATGCTGAGACTCATGATGCGCTTGTACTGACGTCCTGGGGTCAGTCACTTGGTAAGGACTCTTATTACATACTTATTTCGGGGTTTACTCAAGATTGGCTGTTTCAGGCCTGGTGGCATAGAATAATTAACTTCAGTGTACTCTCAAAACAGACAGACCTCCAGGCAGGTACTCAGAGATAGAAATCTCTGACCTCTACAATGGCCCAACCCAAGGTGAGGACAAAGGTAGAAAAAAGGTTATCAAGAATTCACTATTGAACCAGGATACACTCAGCAATGGCAGTTTACTGTAGACAAAAGCCTGTAGTGATGGTGTACCTTGTCACCATCATTGGGAATTACTATGGGAACGCCTGTGAAGAAGCCTACATAAAAAAGAAAATTGATAGTTAATTTTTAAAGAATACAGAAAAAAGTTGAAATACATCAGCTAAACCATTTACCAGACTATCAGTCGGCAACCAGAACGGGCCACAGGGCAAATGCGTAGTTGTCTACTTTTCAATACTCTTAAATCTCAATCTACAAAACACGAGCATGTAAACTGTACTTTTTGGGTTTGCTGTTAGAAGTTTAGACTTACTCAGTTGAATTAGACCGTGGCCTAAATCTTTTGCCTTTGACTTTCTTTTTGTTTCCTCCTATATTACCTGAAAGAGACCAAAGGGTAAAGACAGACTGTATAACATCTTGAAAGTTACCTGCATTACATTCCAAACTGTATATGAACTTTACATTCCCAGCAATAGGGTCATAGTATCAGCTTTAACCATTTAAAAGTCGCAAGTCAGTCCCTCTTGATTTATCTCAGAGCACAAATATTTGACCCTTGCGTGACCTTCTGCTACCTTTTGCTGCAGCTGTGCAGTCCAAAAATTTAACTGCAGCTTTCATTTGAGAAAATCACTACTTCCAGAAAAATGCTAAATACTGCAAAATGCACAATCAAATCATGAAAGCTGGCAAGAGTGAATGAAAATTTTCTTCTTTTTCGTGTTAGCACGTGCTACAGGAATGAGAAAAATTAGGAAATGTAATTTCTATGTGATAAAACATTGTGCAAAAACTGGACTTCTGCAAGATGCAGCTAAATCCCCACTCCAGGTTAATAACAATTGACATAGTTTTTAAAATACTGTCATGCTGCTGTCTGAAGATCAGCTACGCTTTCAGCAGAGCAGCGATGACACAGAGGTTGGTTTCCACTGTGCAGAGCACACAGGTTCACACTTACCCTGCCAAGAATTACTTCTAGGTCTCCCATTTTCACAGATGTCTGAAATATGTTTTGTGTCTGGGATCCTTTCACTCCAGGAATGAGATAATCCATTTGACCTGGAATAGGAGGGCTCAGATGCGGTTATTGTTAAGGGCATTTTCTCACATAAATACTAGCTTAGTGGTTCAGAGAGCATCACATTCCTAAAGCTGGTCACAGAACAAAGCCTAAGGTCTGTCTGCACTAGCAGCCTTTTCTGTGTTTCTGGTTAAATTGTGCAGTTATGTTTTGCCAGCTGTCCCTGAAGCAGGTCAGCACGTCCACATTCAGGCTTCAGTAATGCTTCCTAATGTGGCTGCTGTTGAAAGAACATCAGCGCACACTAGATTTCCTTTGTTATTTCCATCTCTGCCAGAGCTTTTAGTTGGGATATGCTCTTTCAGCTGTTTGTCGCAGTAGCTTTTTCCTAGCAGTTGAGCACACGCTGCCCGGAGGCTGCCCGCCACGCACTCGTGCTGCGGCAGGGAAGCAGGGCTCGCACGCCTCCGCTCCTCCTCCCACCGCTACCGGTCCTGGGGGCCAGGAGTCTGGGGTGAGCATCCTCCCACTCTCAGCTGAGAAATAAGTCCGTCGCAGTTTTACTGATTTTGAATTTTTGTTCTATTTTGTCGGCGAGTCACTGCAGATACCTGTAACGCCAAAGTCATAGCCGAAAATAGTCTTCATACCTAGGTCCTCGGTATGAACTGAAGTTTTTCTTTCCTCATGTATTCCCTCGAAGAATCAGAGGTGTGCAGCAATGTCCAACCTCGGGAGAGAGAGCAGACAGACCCCCTCCTGCTGAGCTAGAACTGCTGCTCAGCCATTCCCCATGAGATCCACAATTCATTTCCAATATAGAAGAAAACAAGAGGAAGCTGAAAACTAGCCGGAATGGATGGCCTAATCATTAGAAAGAAATCTTGCTCAAAGGATGCATTTTTGTATTTTCAAACAGTCCGAATACTCATGTGTTTTTCAATCTCTGCTTTCTTTAGGGGGCAGAGATCTGACAGATGCTGTTCAGGCAGTCTCCAAAAAAACAGGCTAATCACAGCCACACTGAAGCAAGCCCTGGGTTTTATTAATTCAAACTTATTTAAAGAATGAAATGTCTGAGAACTGGCAGATTTTTTTATAATTTTCTCTTCCTAATGGTTTCTTTACAGGCTCAGTAATGTCTTGCTTTTTACCGTTTTTGGTGCTTGTTATTTCATAGCAGCAGGGATTGTTATATAG